GTTGCCGAGAAAAAGCTTTTCTGTTCGTTGTAGTAATAGTCTTAGAAATTATCAGTTAAATACCCAACTTTTTATTGTTGGTACTGGTGTGTTGAGTGCCAAACAGATCCTTAGCAACATCTATTCCTCCAAATTCTTGACCAAAAAATTTGGTTTTTAAGTTCGGTTTTGGTTCGTTGGTTTTCGATCCCTTCTACCGACAGTCGACCGAACATGTATATGATGAAATCTTGGTCTCATATCATCGATGGGATAATCTACGAAACCAAGCGATTGTTCATTATTTGTTCTCGAAACTTTTTTACAATAAGGATGCAATATCATTTATTGAATCAACTGGATTGTAAAGAACCATAATGGAGAATATTTAAACTAGAAATAGGGTTGCGATTGTGAAATGCAATTTAATAGCATGTTTAGTTTGAAGAAATTGAGGGGAGGGATTAGACACGAAAAGTAATGATCCTTTAGGTTTCTAACACTCTCAAACAAAATATTTTGAAATAGAGTGAGTACTAAGGATTTCTGTTTCTCTTCAGTCCTTTACATTCCTTATGTAACATTTGTTTTTTCCATGATTGATAGCAATTTCAATTCGTCAAGTTAAATTGTTAACGTGTTTGTTTCTAATCTCATCCACGTCTAGATGGAGGCAGAGAACCAATGGAATTGAAGAGGGAATTAAAGAACCTCCCGATGATCATAGCAGTGAAAGGTCATCCAATTGAAGACAGAAGCAAAGCCGTAGAACTTGCTCTAAGCACCTCAGATACTCCTTCATTAATCATCAGGATATCGCCTCAAATCTTCAACAATCCTTGCCATCCTCCTCTGACAAACCAGCAGCCACACCCCAACTTGATGATTTGTGCTTCAACATTGTCTGTCAAGTTGCCTCCACCCAGCTCAAGATGGAGATCAGGGTCGTCATTAGCGCCCCGCTCCATAAGCGAATCCACTTTGATCAGTTGGAGAAGCTGGCACAGTCAGCAGACGCAAGTTTAATGGTAGTTCAGTGTCGAACCCAGGACGAGAGGGATGATTCCGATGTTAGAGGAGTTGTCAAGCTCGCGGTCGACACCTCAACACCCTTCAACGTTGAGAAACTTGTTAAAGAGATGCTGGATGCCAGAGAGCTGCTTAAGTTGAAGTGCCATTTTCATGCTTTGAAACTCTATACTGACGGTAAGGATGAACAGAATTGCAAACGCTGTTCGAAGAACATTTCCGGTCCCTGCCATCGGTGTGTCGAATGTGATAAGCACAATTTCCATAAATCCTCTGCCGAGTCAGCCAGCAGTTTAGACGGTCTTCGCGAAAATTGCCCCTCATATCTCAAAGGGAATAAGCCTAATTATAAATATTTTTCAGAGCAGCACAGGTGCGAGAGCTGTGAGGTCAGCAACAGCAACTTCTCCGAAGATTGCCATCATTGTCTGTTTCAGACCAACATGAAACTTGGACATCTGCCAATCGTTCTTCGACACAATTCTCATGCACATCCTCTGAGTCTCATCATCATGCCACACGCCCATAATTACAAGTATGCATGCTGTGGCTGCGGTGAGTTAGGCGAGTCTATCAGCTACCGATGTTTCGACTGCAATTTTAATCTTCATATTGGTTGTGTTCTGTTACAGCCTGTTCTTAAGAAGTTAAGAGCATACGCCACATACATCCTCTTGCTCTTCACTATGGACTGGGGGAGGATGATCTTGATTATGAATATTCTTAATGAAATTTTTGTAAGAATGGCAGAAACCCAGAGAACTGGGTTTACGTCTGTGAAGGATGTAAATGTGTAGCTCATATTGCCTGTGCAAGATGACAAAGCAGGGAATGTTTATCTTATTTCTGTAATTTGCTGGTCTGAGAAGTGTTTGCGTGCTCTCTTTTGTGACAACTAATGGAGGTTAGAATTATTTTCCTAAGTGCTTAATTTTTACCTTTTACCTTTTACCTTTTACCTTAAAGTGTATATATGCTGTTTATTTTTTTAATTTTTTTAATGATAAAATTTTACAAATACAAAGAAATCAAATGATACCCCTTCACATCCAATAATTGTTTTCAAAGTGAAAAATGTATTGTCCAAATCTAAAAAAAGTGAAAGTACAAAAATCAATAAAAAAAAAGATGAGTTTATTTTTATATTGATATTATTATGATGTTCGGAAACATGTGAATATGTAATATCATATTTAAGTAATTTTGTATCTTTTGTTATATAAGAATTTTGAAAAGTCTAAATAAAAAAGGCAAAAGAAAATTAATCATAATTTTTAAAATGAATCATCAAATTCTTTGCGTGGACAACTCTCTTTATAGCCAACAGAATGCTTTACCCAAGGGAATCAAAATTTTTAAACATAAATAAGCCATAATGACTTTTTAAAATTGTTGGTTTTACTAATATAGTTGTCAAAAATTTAATATGATACATTAAATAAATTTTTTATTTAAAATATTTTATATAATATATTGAAATTACAAATTAATTTTAGTAAATCTATATGATGTATCTTATTGTATTTAATTAGTTTATATGTTCAGCACCATATTTATGATTTTTTAAAAAAATTTTATATACTTTTTATTTTTTTGTTAAAATGAAGAGAAAAAGACCTTCGATATGGGTTGGTGCTGACACTACCATTTCGGTGTCGATGCGATGTGTTGAGAATTTGGCAAGTGAGGCGTGGAATTTGATATTGAAGTGTCGATACTTAAAAAGTAGTGTCGAATACTTATGTTTTATTGTCTAAATCAACTCTAAGTCTGTGCAGTCACTGTAAATTTTTTTGACACATCAGTAATTTAGTGAGTCTCATAGATAGAATTCTTTTATCAACTCAGCATTAAAATTTAATTAATTCTTAAATGGTAAAATTAAAAAAATAATATTTTTGATTAAAAACTTTTAAAAGATAATAATTTTAATTAGTTCAAAAAAAAATAATACCCTTAATTAAAAATTTTTTTTTAAATGACGTTCTTATACATGTGAAATCTCATTTTTGCATTCAAGCCAGGCAGCAACATTGGTTTAGCCGCTAAAAGTTATGTTTCCATTACTTTATAGAATTACTTTGAGACTATATCAAAGGTGATATGGTGACATT